ATAAATCGGGTAAATACAAGCAACGAGACACTGATTCGATGTTTTTCTCCTTCAAATATTCAGTTGATGTGCTTTATGGGAGCTGGCGAGGAATTGTCGCGATGAAGAATTATGCGTTTTTTGTTCTTTTTCCTTATTTCATCGAAGCCCGTTGGCAAAAAAAATTGTTTTATACCATTCGGCATTAACAGTTCTTCGATCCTCTAATGGAATGGTTGCGACGTGTCCAATACAGCAACCGATGAAACAAGCGATTTTGAAAACTTAAAATGCAACCTACGTATAATTATTAATTTTTACCATGAGACGATGATTGCAAGCAGTGAAAAACGATTTTAAACAAAAAAACTAACGATATTTAACGAATGGAATGTTTTCTTTTATAAAATATTATTTTGGGACAAACAAATTTTTAGTCAAACAGAATAAAGAATATTAAAAAATATATGTATATATTTTTAATATTTGGCATAGTTTTTACAAAAAATCCAAAAATTTTAAAATAAAATAATTAAACCATGTTATAGCCTAACATGGTTTATTAATTACTTTATACAGATATAAATGTTTTGCTAGAGCATTTCAATAATATAGAGGTATAGAAAATAAACTATTATATTCTGCGTAAAACACTGTCATGAAAAGTTTTTGATCCGGCTTGTTATCCTTTTTGATTTCATAAAATAATTAGCGACAATTCTGTTTTTTGACCTTTGTTTTAGGGGTTTTACTGCAACTTTTTTTTTTAAATCTACAACGACATTGTTAATACCAGTACGGATTTTTGCAACTGTAGGAGTAATTAATATTTTTAGAAAACGCGTATACATTTTCACATTTCAAAACTTTTCTACTCAAAAAATGGATAACACTAATCGTGTTGTTTTTAACTATTTGGTGCTTCACTATGTGGAGGATATGTGTTTTCATAAATATAATTGATTCCAGTGGACTTATTTTTACAAACTGTACATAGTACAAAAGGAAAATTAAAAACAAGTAATTGTTAGATATTCTTCGAGCTCTGTATACCAATAGGAGAATTATTGCTCAATTTAACGATTTTCTGTATAGTAATATTTACTGATTTTATAACACTGTACTAAAATATACCGGGTGCGTCTCAAAAGTGGCTCACCCCAATAACTTTTTTATTTTTTCGGTTAAAAAAACGAGATTTAGTATGTTAGTATATAACATAAATTAGGATGGATTGACGTATTCAATTGTCTTGGGTCACTTCCTGTTTCACCGGAAATGACTACAACTTTTGATTTTTAAATGGCACCCTCAGTATTTTTTTACTTTATTCGATAGAAAATAACATTCTGAATAGAATGACCTATAATATGTCAACTATTGACATTTTGGCATATGGTTTATTTAAAATTATAACTTGCGGTTCGGACCGAAAATTTGGTTCGAAATACCAAGTGTGTGATATTAAATTATTCGTAAAAAAATGCCTTTTCCAAATATGGTAATTAGCCACCTTCGTTCCATTTGAAAAAATTGAAATATGATTAAAAATACGATTTGAGCATAAATCAATTAATTTCATAATTAACTGGCCAGGATAAGACACTAAAAACATTAGACGATCAAATTTATTTTTCCAAGGCTCCTTGATTAAGAATTAGTGTTTTTAACATAGCCATGACAGTCTAGATTGAATTTTAAAATACGATTATTTATTAAGCCAGACTGTCAAAAGTTGACATATAGGTATGTCATTCTATTCAGAATGTCATTTTCTATCGAATAAAGTAAAAAAAATACCGAGGGTGCGATTTATAGATCAAAAGTTGTAGCCATTTCCGGTGATACAGGAAGTGATCAAAAACAATTGAATACGTCAATTGATCCTATATGTCATATACTAACATACCAAATCCCGTTTTTTTATTTGAAAAAATAAAAAAGTTATAGGGGTGAGCCACTTTTGAGACGCACCCGGTATAGATAATTTTATTGCAAAATGCAAAAATATAAATAATTCAATATTTTAGTTTATGTAAATATTAAATTCACAGAAATATTTGATAACTAACAGGTATATGATACCAAGCATTGTTCGACAAACTTCAAAGTATATTAAAGTGATAAAAACCAGAGCCGATTCTATTGCATATAACAATATTTACCCTGTCGTGAATGGTTAAAAACTTTTTATAATTCCTTTTAACTCAGTTGCGTTCCAAAATGCTGCTTTTAAGTTATTAAAGTTAGCTAACAACAAAACTAGTTAAAATATTAATCATCTTAAAATAATCGATAGTGGGTAAAGCACAGTAAAATTTAGCTTCAATTTATTAGATTAATTTTTGAATCATTAGGTACGTTTATAATGTTTATCGTTTGTATGTTGTATTTACTCTTTATAGCTCTACATTATGAAAGTAAATTACTTTATAATAACCATAATATGAAATATGGATGTAATTTTTAATGGAAGCTAATACGTAAATAAATGTTACAAGAAATATTACAAATAAACTTTTATAATTATAAAAATATGGTTAAAAGAGAAGAAAAAGATAAACAAAGCTAATAAAAAGCCGTAAAACCACGGAAAAGACAGAACAAAAATTTTAGCATCAAAAAAGAACGCCACTGATCGATCTTGATCGGCCTTCGGTAGCATGAGTAGTAGCAAAGGTAGTAGCTATTTTACTGTCTGTGTTTTCTTTTACACACTTCTTTACATCTCTTTATTTAGAATATTGTCCTGTTTATGATCTTCTAATCTGTCTGTTCTAAACTGTTCTTCTTAATCACTTGACGTCTCACGTCAAATTTTTAGTTAGTTGCTGTATCGATCATGACTCTGTTTACTGATTGTATTTTTTGTACTTCACTCATGTCATTCGATATAAATATAAATTGTTTCGATCATGGCCCTTATCGTATTTTTTTATTTAATGAAATATACTTAAAGTTAACGCAAAAAACTAGTAAAAACCAGTCTTTTCGCACTGGTTAATTTGATAATAATGATAGATATTATTTAGGAATCGTGTTCCGCAATAATAAATAGTTTAGGCAACTTGTATAAACGTAACAGTAAAATATAATCAAGAATAGAAACGAAATACAATCCTTGTGGTGCCATAACTCTGAATTAGAGAAACGTAAATGTCAAAATAAGGTGCGCGCTAATACTAGAATTATGGCGGTATTGGACTTCGCCATGGCTCGAAAAAAGTCAGATTTAAAAATACATCTTCCTCCTACACCTTTACTGTTTTCAATATTCTTAAAATATATTATTTTTTGGCTTGCACTTCTAAAATATTGCAGCATCTATTAATAAGAGTAACAAAAATATATTTCTTTATATTAGAAAAGGCGAAATATCCAAATTCGATGTTACCATTTTGTTTACAAGAATTTGAAAGTACCAAATATAGTAATTTTGAATATAGTTATTATGATTTTCGCCACTTCCGAAAAAGTTAAGTTGATTAAATAGCATTTTGCTAAAAATAGTATCTGCGCTCTGCCAGATATCATTGCAGCTCAGTATCCACAGACAGGCATATATTAAATAAGTTCAAAGAATAATCCAGAGATTTGAAACAAAAGAATTAAAGAAATGTAAGTATAAAGATAAAAATAATAAACAGGAAGACAACAACGATTTGATCAGCTTTATAAAAAGTCATTCATGAAGATCAAGAGATCTGGTTTCCAATGGAATGGTTGTCACTGATTAATCACGATCCTGCTCAAACCACTCAACGTAAGAAGCTCAATTGTGGCATACAGGTTGATTCTAGGGTGTAGAGGTGTAGAGGTTCGATAAGAAGGGATTTTTCGAAACTCGTATTCTAAGGGGGTTAAACCGAGGGTGAAACCACCCCTCAAATATTAGAATATTTTTTTATTTAAAAACCGGTCAGTTTTTCGGAAAAACTCTTACACACGTATTATATTTTATTTTGTTGTTTTACATATTTTAAGATTTTTTAAAAATGTATACAGGGTGTTTCATAAAATATGATCATTGAGTAATCACGATTCTGCTTAAACTGCTTGATGTTTAAAGCTGAGTTTTGGCAAACGGATTGACTGTGGGGTGTAGAGGTTCGATAAGAAGGGGTTTCTCGAATCTCAAATTCCAAGAGGGTAAAAACGCCCCTCAAATATTACAATATTTGTAATTTAAAAATCGGTTAGTCTTTCGGGAAAACGCTTGGACACGCATAATTTATTTTTTTAAATCATACAGGGTGTTGCAAAAAGTTGGGTAATTTCTTAACCACGACTCTGCTTAAACTGCTTGACGTAAAAAGCTAATTTTTGGCAAACGGATTTTTCGAAAGTCAAATTCCAACGAGATGAAACTACCCCTCAAATATTACCAAGTTATATAATAATATCGCCATATTGTTTTTTCTCATGCTGACATAAATGTGAGAAAATTTGATCCAGTTTTTATGTTAATGGAAATTCTTGCTTTGCTTTATCCCCACCATTAAAAATGATTAATTCGACGGGAACGAAGTCACTGGTACACGCTAGTGTTTACATAATTCTTCACTCACAGCCAAACAATAGGTACACCAAATGATGTTTTTTTTTTTGTAAAATTCACGCCTCACAATACAAAACTGTTAAGGGGGTGAATCTTTAGCATTCCACAGAGGTGTCGTTTTCATTCCATCTGAATTTCTGTTTTTAATATGCCCATAATGACGGTTTTTGCATGTGCTCCACAGGAAGAAGTCGTTCGGCGAAAGATCCTGTGGTCTTTTCCTACTGTATCCCCAATAAACGAGAGTCAATGTTTTTCTTTTCTTCATCATGAAGAATATTCAAGTCATTGTTATTTTCTTCCTGTTCAATTATTTTTGTCTTCACACTTCCATGTGCCTAGTACCTTAGTGCCTTTAGTTTTAAACCTCTGGTTTATTCGAAATATATAAAAGCGCGAAACGAACAATAAATAATACGAATTAACGTGAAATACAATTTCGGTTAATTTATTTTCTATTTAGATTCAACATTCCACAAGTGAGAACGGTGTTGGAGAAACTGATGGGTACCCACTACGTCAGCCTGACGGATCGAAACTACATGCAAAAACTCCAAGAAAGAATATTAGAAGATTACGAGGAACAAATGCTAAAGAGGATTTCAGTCAGAGAGGTAAATAGAATAGATAAAACAATTAGTAAATAAAAAAATAAAAAAGGATGGAAAAATTAAATCAATGTCACTAAAATGTAAACGAAAAAATTAAATTCAGTAACTGGAACTGTAAAATGTCATAAATGGTTTTGCCAATGGTAATGAAATTTGGGACGTTTTTAAAAAAAATGTCATATATACAGGGTGAGTATATGAGTAAATAAGTGCAAATATTTTCAGGGCTGGTTGATCTCGATTTTTTGCCTAAATTTTGAGAACCTCTGGATCCTTTCTCGATTTTATTTCTTGTAAATTTAATCTGCCACCTATGTTGCCATATTATCAACAAATTCAGTTTTTTAACTTAAAGCTAATAAAAAATTCGAAAAATTTTCATTTTCAACTATAACTTTTTTCGCCAAAAAACCTCATCTCATTCAAATCGGAATAACGGTTCTTAAAATATTTGAAAAAATGTGTCTATTTTTTAAAGTTTAATGCCCTCTAGCGGATAAACGAAGCACTTTTGTATAGAGATAAATTGTGTCCAATGAACTTATTTTGATTCCAAAAATAGGTAGTAGTCCACGAAATATTGGGACACCTTGTATAATCATTTTTCAGCTATATGACTTTGAGTAGGGTAAAAACAACGCTTCGATTAACACTGTATAATAAGCCAAAAACTAAAATTTATAAAAAACTGAGCTTATAAATTTACTAGATATATTTATATGCAGTTTGCTAAAAAAATCATAAAAATAGGACTAAAAATAAAAACTAAAGTAATCGTAAAAGAATTTCCGATGCACGTGATCAACTGTGAGTGACAAGCTATGGCGACAGCGCTGCCAGATTGTGATGGATTTATGAGTTAAATGTTAATTTAAAATTAGCAAACAACATAATATTTATTATATCATTTTTTAATTTTTAATTTAATAACTAATATTTTATTGATTAATTGATTTATTTGTTTTATAGCTTATTTTACTTATTTCATATTTGCAAAAATTAGTCCATTATGAAGATTACTATAAGCGTTATTACGGGTTATTAATTTTTGATGTACATTTTACAACGCCATATGTGGTAATAACAAGTAAGAGGATGCTATTAATGCGCAAACTAATAATCGCAGAATTTAATAAAAACTAACTTTGAAAGTGGTATAATGTGCCTATCAATTAAACTTACTTTTCTGACTGTAGTCAAGGGTATAATAAAGGACATTTATTGTCACGTTCTCGTTCAAAATAGTTAAAAAAAAATAGGGAAGCTACAAGCTCTTTGCTTCAACTGTTTAAACAGCTCCGGTATATTTTCAACACACAATTTCAAGAAATGCAAAACAAGAACTCGAAAATTTAGTTCTTAAAAGAACTGTTTGTGCTTAAAAGTGCAATTAAAAAAAATACTATAAAAATAGGCAAAAAAACAGAATTACTCACAAAGATTCAACAAACAACACGATGTTTTACAAAATAATGACTGACACTAGGATAATTGTCAAATAATAAAAGACAACATTGCTGAACACGGCGCAATGTGACCAACATAGCGATAATAAAATTCGGTTTAAACTAACTTTTGCAGCTTTAATCTAAATAAAATATATGTTACAATCATTTGCTCTATAAAGTAAAATAAAGAGCTGCTCAGTATCTTAAATTATACAACAAATTTAATCTTAAAATATTATTTTTATTTTTTTTTTATAAAACTTGTGTTTGACATTGTAAACATTTATATAAATGTTTATTTTAAACAATAAGACTGACAATATTATCTGTATAATGTTTTGTATTATCTTTTGTTTGTTTGTTTGTTTACCTTGTTTGTTTACTTTGTTTGGTTTTTTTACCTTTGCCTACAAATTGTAAAATTTTTTGACAATAAAGGCATTTATATATTTATTTATTTAAACATTGTGACTAAAATTTCATTTAGTCAGGTTTATAGACTTTAATCTCAATGTCAATATGATTGATGACGTGCATCGGAAAACGTTTTGCGATTACAATACTTTAAATTTTACGAAAAAATGTTTCGTTGTATTTTTTTGCATCTGAGTGTAGAATTCCAATATTGAATAACAATATTTGTAATTATTACACCAATAATTAACTCCAAACGGTTTCATGCGTAAACAAAAACACCTCCTTAACGTACCGTTATCCATAAAAAGATCAATTACTACATTATAGCTTCTATCTATAAATTAATATTTATTTTGTTCCATAAAAGTTAAATATAAAAGCGAATAAAAAAGCTTGAAAGCTTTTAAGTAGGATTTAACAACGAGGAAATTTAATTAAAAATAATCTCTCGAGAAAAGTTATCAAAGATAATATTGGATAAAAGTAAGTTACGAAGAATTATGAAGATTTAAGAATAGATTTTCAGTTACGACATTAAACGATACCTAATAGGCTCATTAAGAAGATAATGCATTTTATTATTAAACTCGCTCCTTCATTCATAGCTAAATTCATTGAGAAGATTTCGAATTTTTTACATTTGCAATTTTTAAAAGTTTGCTAGGTTTGATATTTTTTACATGCTTGTTTTATATTCGTACGTTTACAGTGGAAAGTTTTTCAACTAATTAAAAAGCTAACAAGCTTTAATTTTAATTTGGAAAAGTTTTTAAAAAAATAGCGAGGTTACATATTTTTGCAAGAGATTATGGTTCATGTTTTTAGCTCCGGGAAATCGTAATCCGCTGTAATATTTACGAAAACATCTACGATTATAAACAGAGGAAAATTTCAAATCAAAAATAGGGATAATTCCAGACAGATGATTAAGTATGGCAGTAAATTGTGTTTATTTAGGACTAAAAAATTAACAATAATATAGTAGACCGTGATTGAAAGAATCGAAAGAATTATTAAAAGTATACTGCTATCTGTCTCTTGTTTTATTTTGGCAATCCCTATTAAATTCTTTATTTTTTTTATTTTTATTCTTGGCTTTAGGTCGTGGGGGTTGCAAAGATGTTACTAGATTTTGTTCATTATTTTATTTTTATCGACGACGTTTCGACAGTATAATATGTCTTTTTCAAGTCTCTTGAACGTAAATTTCTACAGAATTAAAATTGTGAGCAACTGGACAACTTTCTATTATACTATTAAATGTAAGTGTTATGTTTTAGCCGATGTCTACTGTAGACATCGGCTATTGAAACGATGAATATGTTTTAATATGTTTTATACAAAACGGTCTGCGAGAAAATACGTGCTGCATACTAAAGTGTGATGTCCCTAAACAAATAAAATAATAGTTTTAATATGTGTTATTGTGCGTTTGTCCAGTTGTTCACAATTTTAATTCTGTAGGAATCTACGTTCAAGAGACTTGAAAAAGACATACACTGTCGAAACGTCGCGTCGATAAAAATAAAATAATGAACAAAATCCATTAACATCTTTGCAACCCGAACGACCTAAAGCCAAGAATAAAAAATATATAATATACCAGGTCAAAGAAAATAAAATCTTTATACATCAGAGAAACTTAACAGCCTACTGCTATTTGTAAATACTCGCAGCTTAGTGCCGGAAACCTTAGAGGATATTCCTTCAAATTTAACTTCTAACTAGATATATAAAAATGTTAAAGATATTTCAGCGGATAGCTTTCAGCGATGTTAAAACTCTCTTATTTAATATATGTTTATTAAATAACTTGTTATGCTATTCTTGTAGGAAGAAGAAATGGAAAGAGTGAAAAATCTGGTTCTTATAGGAAAGATACCGTTAGATCAAGCACCTCCTGAGATGGCTCGCCATCCCATCATGCTGATAGAAAACTATTGCAATCAGCTGATTGCCGAAAGGAGAGCGAAGGTAAATACACATTAAAGTAGTATATTAATCAAATAATGTCCGTCTTTAAGTTTATAAATATTATGAGAAACACATAAAATACAATAAATTCTAAAAAACCAAGGGGTAAATATTATTAAAAAATATGATAATCTGGAATTGAAAATTTGTAATTAGAAAAATGTTATAAAACTATGATATATTAAAAAATTGGAAGCTACTGTGGCAATACTATAATAAATAATAAACAAAAATTATAATTGCCAGTATTTCAAAATAAGTACTAAAAATTAAGTGTTCCCTTCTGCAAAATAAATTGCAGTTTCATATATAAACACTGACTCAATTCCACAATCAAAGAGATATTTGTAGCATAGAAATATCGAAAATTAATACTTTTTTTCTTTTAATGTTAGAAACAAAAAACAATATACAATGTATAAGCACCTTCAGATAAAGCAATATTAGAGATGCTCTAAAAAGTAGAAGCGTTCAATAAATTTCAAGAAAGAAAATTTGTAATTTTTTATTTAAAAATATCGAAAATGTAAAATAAGGTGGATATAATTTGCGTAAACAATATTTAGTTTTAATAATATCTATACCCCTAGAAGATTGGGCAGAATTATTACAATAGTTTTGTATAACATAGAAAGTTCATAAAATAAATATTAATTTCAAATTTCAAAATATTGTACGTTTAAAGATTCACTGAGAAGTTTCAGAGTTTTAATGGATGTATATCGGCCGATTTTTTTTTCAGTATATTTGGTTATTTTCATTTTCATTTTTATTAAAAGCCATTATTAAAAATAAACGTTTAATTTCAATCATAGACACCAGGACGTAGTCATTGAATTGTGTCTCTCATCACAATTTACTGACGGTAAATCAATTTTAATTTATATCTAAAAATATTACATACAAATATTCAAATATAATGCATCCTGATCCAATATGTAGGTCAAAGTGAAAATTTTACACGCATGGATAAAAATATCCATACAAATTAAAAATGCGAACTATAGAATGCCCAATATTCAATCCATATTTTACAATTTATATTTTAAATTAATTTTGATGTTTATTTATGATTTGTGTACGTCGAGTTTATAGTTTCCATATTTTATCGTAGACTATAGCTATCTAAAAAAAGTTTTTTTCTTTCTATTTGTATTTTTGGCATAAATTAAAAAAAAACATAAAATATATACTGAAACAAAATGTATTTAAAAATCATGTCAATTGATTTTTTAAAAATCTCTGTTTTTGTGGTAAAAATAATGAATTTAAAATCTACAACGGAACCTAAGATATTTAAAACTCTCTTGTAAAAACACTAAAAATTTTAAAATTTAAAGTAAGTTTATAAATTGTAACGTAAATTTAACGCATTAAAAATATTTAATGGAATATATTACATTTTGCTGCATTGCAGACCCAAAAATGGCAAATCCCACGTAAGTTTTAAAAATGTTGTGAATATAAGTTTCCAATTTATTTTAGCGAAAATATCACTCACAGACTCATTAAATCGAATCATAATTGTTCATTTGAAATTCGAGCCCTTTTTTTAGTTATTAAAAAAGGTTATGTTTTTTTAACTAAATGTTCAAATTTTAATTACTTTATCGTATTGATTGTGTTTTTCCTGTAAATTTCCATATTCAATATCATTTACATTGTTTTTAATAGACTTGTAGGAGAAAAAACTATGACATGATATTTATTATAAAGTAACATGAGTGCTACATTTATTTGATCAATACCACATTATTTTATCGGTTAATTTGGTGATTTAATTCAGTAAATGTTCAGGATATGTAACTTAATATATTAAGTATAAGTTCAAGCCAATAATTAAAAAAAATTGATGAAAAACGGCGATTTTCGTTATATTGATGATTAATTTATCTAAAACAATTTTTCCCTGAAATTGGAAAATGTTAGTCATTATGTTTAAAATTTACGTGAAATTTTCATAGGTTCAGGTCGGCGGGCGATGCATGCATCATACGGTATGTCTATTCATATATTGTGATTTTAAAAATAGTTTCAATTGTATTAGAAAACAATTTTTGACCGTATATTTCAAAAATTTAAAATATCCTTAATATTTTTTTTCAGACGTCCCAAAAGTATTAATTTTTATGGCGTGATTGTCAATATAAAAATATAGATGATAATATCGTATCTATCTTCTTATCTTTTTATAAAATAAAGTTCTTTTTGCGTATGCACAAATAATGTACAAAAATATGTTATAAACTGACATTCAAAGAGTGCATCAATATAATTACTTACAAGTATGATAAAAAACGACATATATAATGAAATGCAATAAATGCAATAATGCACTAAAATATTATTTGCATAATGTTTTGTATTATCTTTTGTTTGTTTGTTTGTGTACCTTGTTTTTTTATTTTGTTTGTTTAGTTTACCTTTGTCTACAAATTGAAAAATTTTTTGACAATAAAGTCATTTATTTATTTTTTATTTATTTATTTATATTTAAAAGAAACTCAATATGTTTTAAATTTATAATAATAGACGTTCTATAACGCAGTGTAATAGACAGTTTATAGACAATATAAAATGCATAATGCAGAACTTCGGCGTCCTGTGCAGCAAAAATTATGTCGTTGTGATATTATCGACATCTCACGAGTTGAAATTTCCAAATAGGGACAGAACTTTTTGTCTTAATAGATTTATGAAGCACAATAACAAACTTAGAAGAATAACAATATGATTTATACTAACCACTAAAAATAACTCATAACATTTTATTTACATTTTTAACTATAATAATAAATAACTATTTTGCTTTTGTACATAATGTTTTTTTAATTTTCTTCGTTGAAATATGAGCCAACATGGTGTAGATTTATCAATGTCTTTAGAAATAAATAACTCCCCATTAAGTAAACGCACCTTTAGTTTCCTCTCAAGTGTCAATATCAATCAAATTACAAGAAATTTGGTATAGGAGGTAGCCGTATTATAGTACAACAAAAAAATAAATTAAATTAAAGTCCATATACTTAGATGCAGACACTTAATATCACATGAGGAAAGTAACATTTTATGTATAATTTATTTCAGATCAAAATCTACAAAGTCAAGATTCCGACGTTCTTGTACTGGGATGATACTCCTGATCCTCCATCTGGATTGTCCATAGAATCTGGTCACATTTTCAGACATCAAGGAGAGAAGTTGTGCCACCCAGTGGAACGTCACCTAGGTTCGACGGAAGATGGTACAGAACCAAAATATTTACTGCCCGAAGAAGAGTTTGATAAACTGAACTACAAGAACTCGTTGGTCAAACAATTAATGGCGTGCGAGGTAAGTAAACGTAATAAAGGTGTTTAATAAAATAATAATAAACTATATTTAGCATCAAATATGTTCTGTTTCTGCACATTGCTCTTTATTTCTGGGAACCTGTTTTATTACAGTATATCTACCGAGACAATGCAAGCAATGTAGAAAAATATCAATCTTTTTTAAGTAAAATGACTGATCTATCTTTAATCTCATATGTTTTTAGCCGAATGTTCTATAGCCTAATTTTATATCGTACGATTTTTTTTAGTTAACTGTCTGATTACAAATCGGACATTCGTATGTTAGCTAAAGTAGTTTTGACTTTTACAAATTTCATAGGTATTATAATATTGCTTTTAGTCAATAATTTACTCAAATCAAACATTTTGATAACCCAGGTTATAAGTAAATTAACAGGGGTTTAGATCCTGCCGTAAGTTCCTAAGTACTTTAACTGAACAAAAAGTTTCAGATGTTATTTCCTAAAAATAAAACATTTTAGAAAAGATAAAAATTAACTTCAGGTCCATAAGTAATTTAAAACGAAGCAAATTTAAATTAAGTTTTACAGACACTTCTATTTATTCTTTGGCATGCTGATAAACTGTATTTGGATAAAATCACATACAAAGTTAAATCATTATCATGCTCACTAATTGGATTATAAAATATTTAAATAATAATAAAATTATCGTTCAGTTAAATAACACAAAGTTTCAATATTAATTCACCCTTTTTTATTTAACTATTAGTCTTTTGATAAATAAGCTCATGATGATTTTTAGTTTCCATAACCCTTAAAACATTTTTTATTTTTAATTTGAACTTCATAATAAACCTCGAAAGCAGAGTGTAATGACATAACTTTAAATTTATTTTTAAATAAAAATATTTTCATACTTATGTATTGACAAAATATCAAAAGTAGGAAAAGTATACTGCGAAATCTTATTATCAGCAAAATTGGGGAAATTGTATCTGAACAAATACTACAAACTTATGGGATAATGAGTTCTGAAGTTGGGAACTATAATAAAGGCTGCAGGCAATCAAGTTGCACATAGTGCTCACAATAAATTTCGGAGCTATATTTTACTAACTGGCTCACTAAATTTCTTTTAACTAGACGCCGTATTTTATTTTATTAAAACAATCGACTGCATATGCACAGTAAAATGCACATTTACTACTAGTTAATAATATTATATTATCTTAGTTACAAATATTTTTACTCAGTCTTCATAATTGAAATGATAAGAAAAAAATTTGTCCAACTCTGCCTATACCTATAACTTAAAGCTAATAAAAATCCGAAGTATAGAGCGATATAATAATAATAATAATAGTTTACTAAATACTAACGATATTTATAATTCATTTTTAAATACAAAACTTTACTTAATTTATACATGGTTATTCACCACATACGACTCACATTAGTATTAGCTTACTGCAACCTTATTTTTCAATATACCTATGGAATATTGACATTCTAGATTGTTTTTAAAGCAACAAATGTACAAAATGCACAGGCTAGTAATATTATCGTTTTTAGCAAAACGATAATTTAATTTAACATTTCTATTCAATAAGAGAACTATTTAAATATTTGTAAAAGAGTATACCATTAATTAAATATACCACCATTATTTCCGCCCAAATATTGATTAGTTACATACTTTTTTGAATCAGAAATGAATATAATAATAAGTTATGAAAATGAACGTCTCTGTTGTTATAAATAAGCATTTATCAAAAAATTAAATATCATTTTTAAGGTGTTACTTTTTCCCACACTGTCTAATACACATATAAAATTCAGTTTTTTAGTATATGGAGCAATTATTATTAAACAGTCAATTATTAATGTAGTTAGAATACTGGAATCATATTAATTGGTTCCCTTTAACAAATATTTAAACAGTTTTTTTTAAATAACGTATTTATAATTTAAACGTATCGACAATATCCGTATCTGTACTCTTTAAAAATTTGGTACATCTTTAAAAACAATCTAAAATATCAGTATTCCATGGGTATATTGATAAGTGTATTCTAAATTATAAGAGAATGCATTTCCTACGGAAACTTGAAGAGATAGGTAAAAAATGGTATAATACAATTTGATAGACAATTAAATTGTGCATCTGATTCCCATCAAAATATACATGGTGTTCCATTTAAATAAAACAAGTTATTGCCGTTTAATGCTAGTAATTATTTAAAATAAATTTTTAGACACTCTATAAAAGGTAATATAATTTTTATTATTGCAACACAAAATTCAGTAAATAGAAATACTTCAGTACAATATTTGGTTTTAAAAACTTAAATACGCTTAAAGAAATGAAGAATTAAAATTATTACTGTGTTTTGACATTTCAATTTGCTTTATTGTTCAGGTTCACATAAATTACTGGAATAGACAGTTTCAATTTTGCTTTATATAAAGTATATACCCAAGACTCAGAAACATAAATAAATTCGAAAACTTAACTTTTTAAAAAAGCCTAATAAAATCAATAGAAAACTGGTACTTGTAACCGAAAAGTACAATTAGAACATGTATTTGTCATAGCTCGCTCGAAAAAATACGACGTAAATTCTTGAATAATAATGCATCATATATCTGACGAACGCAATACCTACTGGGTATGAAAAATTTCACAAGAGTGAAATATGTGCCATAAACAGAAATTAATTCTCGATTGGGATATTATCGTTTAGCGATTTTTTAATAATGGCCACGTGACGTCACTAATTACCAATACAGTAGTAGAAACTTGGTGAAATCCAGAGTAATTTTTATCGAGGTACTCGAGGAAGATTTCCAGTAAATTTCAATTAAATCTGGCTTAAATGTCACGATGCGATGGGTCAAACGTTATTTTCTATTAAGGTTATTTAAATGTTTAAATAACTTCTGGGTAGTGTCGATGACATTTAGTATAACAACTTTATTATAATTAATATTATTTTTTATATCGGTTGTAAAAAAATAAAAATGTTGAAATAGACAGTAAACTCTATTTTTATATGTACATCAAGCATTTCACTATTATTATGTCAAAATGGTCATATTTGTAACTTATGGGTCATGTTATTTATTCTTTAACATTTTCTTAATAACGGGGTTGATTGTCTATAATATTATAGAAAATTCTGTTTTCCATGTAAAATATTTATCATAATCTTGCTGAATATGACGAACCGTTTATATTATTATCATATACATTGTATGACCAAAGAAAATATAATCTAGATGACTTTGAACATAACCGTTAAATAAGTTAAAATGTTCTTAATTACCTAATTAACTTTATTACCTAGAATAGTATAGAATGTTCAGTCATCGTTCAACGTCACTTCATATATTTTCAAACTCTCTCAATCACTTGCCAACAGGATGAAAAAGACTTGTGTGTCATCTGTACGGCATTTCGTAAATTACCGCGTATTCTTTTTAGTAATTGTCATTGTTATTTGATTTGTCATATTAAAATATCCGCTAGGGGGCGTTTCTCTGATACCGAATCATAAAACAGGGTTTTCCTCAAAAATATGCAGGTGAACAGGTATTTTAAATATTTCTATTGTAATCATCGAGAAATTTGTATTTTTTTTTGATACAGAGTATTTTGCTCTATCTCATAAAATAAAGTGGTGGGGGAAGGTTAAACTTGCTTTTATTTAAATAAGGATAACTCAGGTTTGGGTTAGCCGATTTAAACAAACTAGGGCTCGTTTAAAAGAGCTTCTCTTCCTTAATGATCTCCAGTATAAATTTTCTTTCCATAATTTTTTTCGTGGTAGCTAGAGAGCGCTGTTTGACATCATAACAGATATTGCGCTTTTGCATAAAAAAATTAAATAGGAGGCTATATTTTTCTTTACACCGTTAAATAGAGCACAACATTTCCAAAATATTAGCGTCAAGCCGCAACTTTCTATCTTCTCTCTAACGGGAAATATTAAGAAAATAAATCATATTAGGCTGTCGCCTAGTATTATAAGGTCTAAAAGTAATAGGCTAGGAAACAAAAAGAGGTAAATTGGTTACGTCAAAATATCAAAACGTTTAAGTTCAGTTTTCATGCATCCGAATTTCGGGCGATTTATAAAAAACGACGTCATAAATTTTTAAAGGTTGTGTTGATGTAAATTTTTACGAATTTTTTGGTTAATTATATGTAGGTAGTCTCAGATTAAAATGTCCGAAAGTCGGACTATCAATCATTTTATTAAAATGTCTAGGCATTGTGTGCCGCCATACTGTTTTTAACGGAAAACGGCTGAACTTCGTATGGCCGAAAACTAGGAGTTTATTTCATGTAACGTCATTTAGTTATTAATCCAAGTTCGTCCTTGATTTCGCTTGTTTTCTGTTTTATCTGTTGTTTGTGTTATTTCTTATTATACTATAAAGTTTATGTCGTTTGGGCCACTTTTCATATAGAACAGGTGCGAATCTTACTATGCACTACTGGTTCAAATCTACCCTTGATCCAAGTAGTTCAGCACCAAGACCGTTGGTCCGTAAATGTTTAGGCATGAATTCCAGGATGGCGAATGATTGGACTTTTTTAATTTTCTGAATGAAATGAACTGTCCATAATTTCTCAGAGATAAGAGCCAACTTTTTTAGTGGATCCATCATGATGAAATTGCATTTGTTGCAGTTTCATCAGCATGAATGTAGTTGGTGAAGTTGACGCAGCTGGTGCAGTTGTGCCGATTATTTTGCTATGAATATGTGGGACTTCTTGGATACCACTTATTTTGGTAGATAGAGACGCTGGAGCGGCATATTTCCATGGCCAGGTAGGTCATCGGATTCAATATGCCTGGGTTTTAATTTATTTGGTCGAATCAAGAACGAACATGGATAAATAACAATTAAATGGTATTAAAATGAAATTAAAATATATGTTTTGATATTTTGACGTAACCAAGTTACCTCTGTTTGTTTCCTAGCCTACTACTATAATCTTCAGAGTTTATAATACTAGGCGACAGCCTAATATTATTTATTTTCTTAATATCTCCCGTTAGAGAGAAGATAGAAAGTTGCGGTTTGGCGCTAATATTTTGAAATTTTGTGCTCTATTTAACGGTGCAAAGAAAAATATATCCTCCTATTTAAATTTTTTATGCAAAAGCGCAATATCTGTTATGATGTCAAACAGCGCCCTCTAGCTACCACGAGAAAAAAATATAAAAACAAAATTTATACGGGAGATCATTAAGGAAGAAAATCTCTTTTAAACGAGCCCTACTTTGTTTAAATCGGCTAACCTAAACCAGAGTTATCCTTTAATAAAAGCAAGTTTAACCTTCCCCCACCATTATTTTATGAGATACAGAAAAATACTCTACATCAAAAAAATTACAAATTTCTCGATGATTACAATAGTAGTATTTAAAATACCTGTTCACCTGCATATTTTTGAGAAAACCCCTGTTTTCTTATTGGATATCAGTGAAACGCCCCCTAGCGGACATTTTTCGAACTTGTAAATAATTTCCAGCGATTTCTCTTGGTCGATTTACTTATTAGAATTTTTTCCCCAAAGTTATACGATAAGTATTTTCTGAGATACAGCCGGCGGCGTCCATTCTTAATTGGCCACCCGGTACTGAAATTTTTCTAAACGATATGAACTGATCTCAGACACGCCTTAAAACTCATACTCGTATTTGACAAACGTAACGGTGAATGATGGCTGAACAGTTTTTAACTGTTTGTTTTTCAGAAAAATTTACACCATATCTTTCTAATTTAAGCAAAATTATTTACACTATGCGTTTATTTATTTTTTAGACTGTTGAAGAGATGTACGCATTAGCTGATAACATTATAGGAGCCCTCAAGACTTTGGACGAAACCACGAAAGCACCAGAAGATAACATATCAGACGTCCTCAACAACACTCCATAAAATTAATTAAATTCAACTTAACATTTTGTTTCATTTAGTATTAAGCTTAAAGCGCAACATTTAGCATCAACATAATTTCATTGCCATTTTTTATAAAAATAAAAATGATTTTACACATAATGATTTATTTGATTATTTATTAATTTATTAAAATGTCTCAACTAGAACCAGTTTTTTGTAAAGTGTGCTACAGTTAAATAACTGTGATAATAAAATTCAAGATCAACTTATACCCGGTGATTTAAATTTCAATCTAGACAGCCAAGGATAATTTGACTCGAGATACAAAGTATGTGATACCAAATTATTAATAAAAAAATATTTTTCCAAATATGGTAATAAATTTAAAAAAATCGAGTTATGATTAAAAATACTATTTGGATCTTAAACCGGTCAAGAAAAGACACGAAGAACAATAGACGATCCAATCTATTTTGCCAAGGCTACTTTAAAAACTAGTGGTTGTAACACAGCAATAGCACTCTAGATTAAAAATTAAAATACTATTTTTTAAGCAAAGGTGTCCAATAGTTGACATGTAATATACCAGTCTATTCAGAATTCCATTTTATAACAAATAAAGTAAAACAATACTGAAGGTACCATATAAAAATCAATAGTTGTAGTAATTTCCGGTGAAACAGGAAGTAGCCAAAACTAATTGAATACCTCAATTAGTCCTGAGTTATGTTCTATAAATACATACCAAATCTCATTTTTATATCTGAGAAAAAATAAGAAGTTATAGAGGTGAGCCATGTTTCAAAAATACTCGTTATACCGGTTATAAATACAGGGAGAGTCTTAAATAAGTGCAAATATTTTCAGGACTGGTAGATCTCGATAAAAGAAACATATTTTCTTTTTACCGTTTAAATAACCCCAAAATAACCGAGTTATTTTATTTAGAAAATATCCAAAAAAAAATATTTTTTTGGTTAAATTTTGAGAACCACTGGTCCTTTTCTGGGTTTTCTTTCTTGTAAATTTAACTACCTATGTTGCCATATCATCAAGATATTATGTTTTTTAACTTAAAATTAAAAGACAGACTAAATTACAGACGTGCTTCTGCTGTCGAAATATACCACCCCTAAAATATTTGAATTAATTTAAGACTCGCCCTGTATATATGTATATTGTAATCAGATCACAACTGAATTGTGTTATCTAAGTATATTTTTGAGTTAATCTATGTTAAGTATATAGTTCCAATTTGGTAATGTGACATTTATTATATTCTGTGAGATTACCTAGTAAAAATATATAAATAAATAAATAAGAATTAAGAAAGTAAATGTTAAGAACTCTACTTTCGTTATTAATGGGACACAAACAAATATTAATTACTTATTTGTATGTGTGAATTTTACTGTTTAGTTTATATATTAAAATTATTGTCAATTTTATTGTAAGTGTACTTTCTAGGTTATTTCACGCAATAATATTTGCTGTTATAAGGGGCAGTAAAATCTCCCGACTTCGAAATATGTAAATATATGCATTATATATTTTTACAAGTTGTTCTGCGTCTTAATTTGATCCACTTTATCCTGTCCGTTCGCGTTAAAGTTAATTTTCGTTGTTTGTGTTTACAGAGGGCGCTCGTGTCAGGCAGCGTCATTGCTAATCCGCCAACTTGGCGCAAAACAATTTCAATAATGTCGTGTTTTTGTCCTCATTTTCATATGGAAACTACAATAAAAAAAGCTGTATTGATTATAGTTTTTGAGCGATTTTTTAGCTTTTTTCTATCAAGTCTTCCATTTATAACGTTTACATTTCTTTGAGGTATCAATAAGATACAGCCTGCTATAATAGAGCCCTTTGTATATTAGAAAGAGAGTGTGGTGTAGCATTTTACAGAAGAATGGTTTTGAACTAGATGCTATTCCCATCAAAATTCATCTCTCAATCATTTTTAAATATGATATAGTATACAGGGTTATTAACCTCATCGGACACAGAGTAGTGTGTACATATTCATTGAAATATCAGTTACATCTTATGTTAATATCTGAACTATAAACTACTTTAAAGATTAAAAAATATTTATTCTAGTTCTCGGTTTATGTAATTAAATATTTAATTATACTGGGTGCGTCTCAAAAGTCAACTCAAATTCAACTCAATTTCATTATGCTCAGTATTCAACTCAAATTATGATAATAATTTTAGTTAATATTAATTTTGCTTCTATTTATATACCGGGTGCGTCTCAAAAGTGGCTCACCCCCTATAACTTTTTTATATTTTCAGATAAAAAACGAGATTTGGTATGTTAGTATATGACATAAATTTGTATTGATTGACGTATTCAATTGTTTTCGGTCACTTCCTGTTTCACCGGAAATGACTACAACTTTTGATTTTTAAATGGCACCCGCGGTATTTTTTTACTTTATTCGATAGAAAATGACACTCTGAATAGAATAACATATCATATGTCAACTTTTGACATTTTTGCATATGGTTTATTTCAAATTATAACTTGCGGTTCGTAAGGAAAATTTGACTCGAAATACCAAGTGTGTGGTATCAAATTATTCATAAAAAATGCTTTTTCCAAATATGCTAATGAACCACCCTCGTTCCATTTGAGATATGATTAAAAATACGATTTGAGCATTTTCTAACTGGCCAGGACAAGACACTAAAAACATTAGATAATCAAATTTATTTTTCCAAGGCTCCTTGATTAATAATTAGTGTCTTTAACATAGCCATGGCACTCCAGATTGAATTTTAAGGTACGATTTTTTATTAAGCCAGAATTGCGAGAATTATCAAAACTTGACATATGATATGCCATTTTGTTCAGAATGTCATTTTCTATTCATTAAAGTAAAAAAATACCGAGGGTGCTATTTAAAAATCAAAAGTTGGAGTCATTTCCGGTGAAACAGGAAGTGACCAAAAACAATTAAATACGTCAATCCATCCTACTTTATGTCATATAATAGCATACCAAATCTCGTTTTTTTATCTGAAAAAATAAAAAAACTTGTAGGGGTGAGCCACTTTTGAGACGCACCGGTTATATAAATAGAAACAAAATTAATATTAACTAAAATTATTATCATCATTTGAGTTGAATATGTTTTAATTTAGTAAAATAGATTTTGTTCAATTATTCTAGATAGATTGGAAAATGATTCGAAATATTTTTTAATAAATTGTCCAACAGGTTTTTGTACTTGCGGTAAGAAAAAATTCCGGGCCATATGATATTATAATGCACTACGTTGTAAAAAAATAATTCTTGTTTTCTGCCCCTTAAAGAATTCTCTAATAAAATTTAACTTAACACACACATGCCACTAGTTGAGTTCATATAAATGTTGACCTAGAATATACTTTCATCATAGGTCTTCAAGCTATTACCCTCTATTGTCATGGTTTTCCACTGAAAGGCATACAGAAAGCTACTGGGACCTTGGCACTATTAGATTCCAGATTGAGTCTCATTTGCCCATAGCAATCAGAATAAGAAATTGATCGATTGCGCTGACGCCACACAAATTATGTGACATAACACAAATATGACATAACACAAATTATTATTAATTAAAATTCAATATATATTGACATCCAGCTATAAGAGATGGGTTGTGGCTACCGATTCATTGAGTTCCATTTCAAGTTCTATTCCAACCATCCACTAGTTATGGCAATCGATGTGCTTCTACAGAAGGTCAATATCAACCAATGTCAATTACTACAGCGTCACTTTCCTTTGGCTTCCGAGCCACATATAGTCTGTCCAACGAGAAGATCCTTGACAGTGATAGATGTGTCTGTCATTTAAATTTCAAAGTAGTTTATTTTATTTTACAAAGAAATAAGTTGGTACAACTGGAACGCATAGCAGGAAATATTTAAAATTTGATTGACAAGATGACAAGTGATTACTTCAAAATATTGTGAAAAAAACTGTATAAAACTGAAAAAATGTAATCGAGTTATTTTATTTAATAAAAACGATATGTGTTAATACAATAATACAAAACAAACAAGAACAAGACACTACATACCAAAAAAATATAAAAAAGAACTATTATTTACTTTCAAGCTTTATGAAACTACCCGCATTTATGATTATATTTATCAATATAACTTATGTACAAATAGAAATTTGTAATATTCCGCAGGAATAAATAAAACAACATAGGTAAATAAAACAAACTATTTTATTAATAATAACTCCTACCAAATTTTATACCTTAAAGGTTGATTAATTAACTTTAATCTTAATTTTTTTAAACCAGTACCTTTTGACATTATTTTTCTGCAGTACTAAAATCCATTATTTGCCTATCGTGTGATGTCGATATTTTACAGCTACTCCAGTTTTTAGTATGTGTTTAGTTTGATCCTTCTACCTTATACGAGATGCACTTATCTACGACGAAATGGTATACAAACATTATCGATGGCAACTTCATTGGTTTAAGACTTCCTGCCTGGGCAGCGAGTATTAATCATAAACTGTGCTCTGGGTCTACAGTTAATTTTTACTCGATTTTTCCTCCACTTGACTTCAAAAGACACAAAACACACGTAATAATACGAATCAAAATGCATCATCTTCCAAAACGCAGGGTATTCAACAAAAGTTGACACAAAATTATAATCAAACCAAACCAAACCAAACCTATAATTTGGCAAGACTTTGACAAGCGTCAAAAATGACAAAAATCTAAAGGCGAGTTCATACGCATCGGCGTCCGTTTGTCGTTCATCGTTCCGTCAAACCAATAAAATTGAAATACGATCTGTCATTTTTTAAATAAACCAATAAGACTGGTCAAAAACAACAAGACACGACGCATGACGGATTTATATTTAAACCCATCCATAGATAACTTAAAAATAATTAGAAACTTTTTTTAGTAAATTAAATAGATTGGTATGGGACGTCATCTGCTTTTCTTCTGTCATCGTCTGTCGAAATCTTACCTGAGAAAAAAAACAGAGTATAGGAATTCCTGATAATGACAGCTGACTACATGGCTGCAAAAATTCCCAACCATCCTAAAACCAACTATTTTGAAAATAATGTACCTAGAAGAAATTTCGTTGTGCTGACTAGAATTCGTTTAGAACACACGAAACTTACCCATAAACACCTCCTTAAAGGACAGAACCAGCCCAATTGTGAAACATATAATGTTCCAATATCTGTCAAACACATTTTCTTTGAATGCCAAAAGTACGCGTTAAAACGAAAACAACACGGTATGGTGGATAACCCAGAGGTAGCCCTTTCCTTCCAAAATAACAAGACTATGTTGGATTATATAAAGGATATCGACATGAAAGGAAATTAAAACAACTTTGGGTGCACGTCATCAATGACACCATGCGTCGTTTTATGGAGTTTGCTGGTGGTATTATGATGTCCAACCAAAGTTATTTTAATTTCCCTATATATAAACATAAGCAGACAGTAGTATCGACTGACTAGTGAGAAAGAAAATCTAGGAACTGTGTGGGGTTGCAGTCGGAAGGGTTTGAAAAAGAATTAATACACTTTGGTAATTGTCAAGCTTTCGGAATTTATTCCTTCCTTCCTCAGGACATCAACGTGGTACAAGAGACCTTCATAAAAAACTACATTGAAAAATAGGCTTGAGGGATGCATTGAAAACTCCACCGTAAAATATCGCTGACTGTGTACGATCACACAGAAAGCGATTAAGCGTTGGGCGATGCTATGCTATGCAATGCTATGCCTTTATCGCTTGATATATTTTCATCGCGTTCAAACAGAAGGCAATGGAAAACGATTTAGTTAGTAGTTTGATGTGCAACAAGCACCACTGATGCTACAAACTTGATATTAGAGAATTCGCTTTTAAAATACGTTTTTTTTAAAGATTAACAAAAAAAGGCAATGGATACATGAAATTAATCGAGATCGGGTGATATACAGCGAATTTTATCATTTGTTTCCCGAATTAACCATTTACCCTGATAAATTTCGACAGTATTTCCGAATGTCATTAGAGACATTTAGGTATATTGAAAATGGTGTAGCGCCATTACTGGAAAAGGCGACTAAAAATTGGAGGTTGCCAATTAGTGTCGAAGAACGACTTGCAGAAACATTAGGTATGAAACGAAATAGATGCTAATTATTATGCTGTTTACTTAGTTTATTACTTCATTTACATATTTGTATAAGAGTGGTTTGTGTCTGAAGAATAAGAAGGCGAAACCAACAGCTTCGTTTGTTTGAATCTGTTGAGGTTGCACCGTAATATTATTTTGATAACGTAAATCGGCCACCGTGGCTTCGTATAGTGACTCCTGCATCTTGAGCGATCTAAAGACGCGTGCGATTAAAAACAAACATGTTTGAAAACCAAACCGACCGACGCGCGACATCGCATTGCATAGCATAGCGAACTCGCGCGCTTTTTGAACACCCTCACTAAAGATTACGAGTTTAAAATAAACGCGACGCGACGCATCGCATAGCATCGCATCGCATAGCTTTTTGTGTGAACTTACACTAAGGCGTGAAGGCTTTGCGCCTTCATGCCTTCACGCCTTAGATTGAGACGGAATTGGGAAATTCAGGAAACAGCTCAATGTACTTTCTTCACTTATCTTCTGTCTCTTCTTATTAAGACAAGAAGATATAGTGGTAAGCCGGTAATGATTTCTGTTAGAGCAGAAAAGATTCTGTTAGAGCGGAAAATTCAGTTCATTTATCTTACAAAACAACATAGAGCTGACTATGTTCGACTATTCGTAACTGGAAAAGCTTAATTGCAACAGATTCTGCCACATTTTCGGCTCCACTTGGAGCATATGACAGACAGCACAGTCGTTTGATTTATGTTGTTCTGTTTCTTACAGATGGTTACAAATTTATATTTTTACATTTCCTTATCATATTTTTTATTCATTTAAATAACAATACTTATTTTATTTCAGATTGCACTTTAATTCTTAAGAACGATTTGCTTTCGTCTCTGTAATATACTAGAGATACGTAGGATTATATAAATTTAAGAAACTTTGTGTTAATCTTAATTAAAGATAAATAAATAAACAAATAAATACATCAAAAGAATTTTCGTGGGAGTATAAAAATTAAATCCAAAAACTTTCCCATTATCAGCATTCCACCTTTTTGCATACGAATGGTATGATTGATGATCATATTTTTTACATATCCCCTTTCTTACCATCGTAAATAATACGTTTGTATCCCCCACCATCACCATCACGGGCCACGGTAGTGTCCCACGTGGCGGACTTGTTGCGTCTTCATCGTCATCGGCCACAAACACCGTCGTCGGACACCTACGACGCGTCGCGACGTCTATAAAAGCGCGGTGCGAGCGTCGCCAATCAACAGTTCGACGCGGTTTCGGGCGGCCTAAAAGACATCGCCGAAAAAACAGCGGGGATTAGAGTCCCTTTAATTTGGCATATCGCGAGAGAAAAAAATTAGAGAACTTTTTTGGCGGATTGAATGGTGATTCTGTGAAAATCGGTGAGGAGATGCGAATGGTAGGTATAGTAGTATTAGGATTATCAAATAAAAAAAAATATTTTTTTTATAATGAAATATTACTATTTTAAATTAATCAATTTCAACTATATCCAAAGTCACTTAAAGTTGACATTTTTTTGGTTACCAGAAAAATATAAAGAATTTAATTAACAATATCACCCCAACAGTTTTATAAAAAAGCTATAAAATATTAAAATTCCTTTTTGTTAATTAAGGTTTAAGTTTTAATCAATTTCAACTATATCCAAAATCACTTAAAGTTGACATTTTTTGGTTACCAGAAAAATATGAAGAATTTAATTTACAGTATCACCCCAACAGTCTTATAAAAAAACTATGAAATATTAAAATTCCTTTTTATTAATTAAGGTTTAAGTTATTATCTTATTAAAGAATATTTTGAAAATTCTCTCCAATTATAATTATTTTTTTCAAGATCATTTAAATAAAATTAATAAATATTAGTTACAAATAAAACACGCAATTTATAGTAATTTGTCATTTATTAAATTTTTTTAAATAAAATATTCAAGAAGAGCTGTGCTTTCCAAAATTTTATAAATTTTAAAATTTTATAATAATATAATAATTTTAATAAATTGGGGGGGATCAATTTGTATCCTGCCATATCTAACTGAAATTGTAAAGTCGAAATATGCTATGTTAATTTAATTTTTAATCAAAACATAAAATAATAATAATGTGAATTATTTATACAGGGTGAGTCTAGTGCAAATACTTTCGAGGCTGGTAGATCTCGATAAAAGAAACATATTTTCTCTTCATCGTTTTTCAAATAAGTCCAAAATAACCGAGATATTTTACTTTTGAAAATTTAAAAAATAATAGATTTTTCGCTTAAATTTTGAAAACCACTGGATCTTTTCTGGGTTTTCTTTCTTGTAAATTTAATCTACTTTATATCTTGTTACATTATAAAGATATTATGTTTTTAAACTAGAAATTAAAAAAATCCAAAAAAATCCAAATTTCCAAAAATATATTTTCGCGAAAAACTCAAAATCGTGTTTCTGGGGTCAAAATATACTACACCTGAAAATATTTTGACTTATTTAAGACTCACCCTGTATGTTTTTGTCAAGTAGACTTAGCAGTAATAACAAATATCCATAAATGCAAAATATCACATGGAAAATTAGAATAACATTTATTTTCTTCCACTGAAAAGTTGGTTTATAAACACTTGAAATTGCAGGCTCAAAGTCGATATCTTTTGGAAATTTTATCATAAGTTGGAATATGAAAGGATACCTGGTGAAATATGACTAATACTCATATTTTATATAAGCCACTTTGATAGCAAAAATACCAAAACATAAAACTTACCAAAATCAATCAAAAATAGTAATTTATATACTGTACAATAAAAAGAATTAATATACGTACAATATTATTATTATCAATATATACGTTATTATTATTATTAAAAACTTTAACAATATCTGAAAATAAAACGTTTATGAAAGAAATATATTTAGAAAATTGTGCCTGTGCTGCACATATGTAACTTCTTGTGTAGTCAGGATATATATTTATTACAATGTTTTCCGTATTTATTATTTCCTAACCAAACCAACTGAAATACAATATGAATGAAAAAAAAAAACGGCGTCAGCAAAGGCTTTGAAATGAAGATTACTATCATTTCATATGTAAAATTATATGGGGAACTTAATCTATCGCCATTTCCAAGCCAACTGGACGCCGGTTTTTTTCAATCATACGGAATATTTATTTTGTAGTTTTTATTTAATAACATATTGGCATGACATTTTTCAAAACAAAATCAGAGAAGTAAATAGCTTGAATTAAAAAAAAAAAATGTTCTTATTGTCATAGTAAGTTATACCATTTATTTTTTGACAAAGTATTCTAAAACTTTATTTTATTTTTTTTTTAATTATTACAACACTACATTGCTATTAAATAACGATGCGATACGCTACGACTAATATTTGAGCAAAGTCAAATAAACTTGATAAAGCTAAACAGATCATTTGTTTCGGAGATATATAGCTATAAAGAGGTGTTTTTAAGTTTTCAAAGCTCTTAGGTAATCGATGTCATGCGAGTATTTGAAAGGATAGAGTATGTTTATTGTGAAAATATAGATCTATTTCAACAAGGTTTTCAAAGATAAAAAAAAACAAATAAAAAATATAACAAAAGAAAAATTCCGTACATCCTTATATATTCTAGACATTTCTCAGATTTATTAAATTACTTAGACCCAAAAACATTATTTTTATTTATTATGATAGATATGCCTAATAATAAGTAGTATTTTGGTATTTACTTTTTCATTTTTTTTTAAACAAAGAAATTTATTTGTTGAAAACATTTGTGTATTTTGGCAAAGAAAATTGAAAAATAAAAAAGATTTTGTAAAATGCAATTTGATTATAATACAAACGGAAAACATATTTTCAAAGGATCTTGTACACATATTTGCGTAAACAACAATTTGCACTTAAGGTTTCAGAGGGGTATATTTGCCCCCCACATAAAGAACAAAAAAATAAATGAAAAACTGTATATAATAGCTAAATTTAACTATATTGAGTATACTTTCAACAACAAAATTCTTTAGCGATATTAAATATTTATTCCCAAACAATACTATTTTCACAATGATAGAGTCGATTAAAGCACTTCCTCTACGACCAAAAACTGATCTAAAACCAAAAATAACACTTCCAGTGTGAAAGCTAATCGTTAATTCGTCTTACTTGATCCTTTTAACTGAGAGATAAATCATCCTTGTGTTTAGCGCTAACACTACCGCCAGTTCAGACAGACAGACAAAACCTAAGTTTTAGTGTCGCTTCACATTAAGCGGATCGTCCGTCCGGACTGTCAGTATATTCGAAAAAGTATCATGAGTTCATTTGGATATTTTCACATGGGTGCGTATGATCCGTAGGCATGATTTCGTCCGCTGGCCATCCGTTGAGCCCGTGCGTCGACAACGAAACATAAACGCGGACAATCCGTTGCAACCAATAGGAAATACACTCGGAAATACATGATTAACCGCAACGGATTAATGGCAAATGGAAAAGTATTCCGTCGGACTTTTAAAATAAACACGGAACAATTTAAAACGGTTGACGGTCTGATTAATATGAATTAATATATCCCTATAATTTTGTTTCTACAGTATTAAAACAAACACTTTTACAATGTTCTTCATAAAAATTCTTAGTTTTCTACAAGTAGTTATTTTTCCTAGAATGGCAGTGAAATAGAACCTTAAATTTATATTAATAAGCAATAGTTTTTGACACCATAATAACATATATTTTTAGTACTATAATAGTATATTGTTTTATTAGGAGTAAAAATTATACTTTGTGCAGCGACGCTGTATGTTCGACATACCGGCGAGGCACAAAAAGACATTTTTACTCCGAATAGAACACGCTATAGTTTTGTGACGTTTGAATTAAAAAATATTTTTTTCAACTACCAATCGTAACCTGTTGGTATTCCTCATGAAGAATCATTTGTTTATTAATTTTTTATCTTAATAATTGGACACCTTATTTGTAAATTAGCTCACAATATAATTAACTGTCACTGTTGACTGTCTTAACGTTTCTAGATGATCTCACTAATATGTAAATAAAATTATAGTTTACTCTAGAATTTAAAAAGTTTTCGATATAAATACTCGCAAAAAAAAACAGTTTGAAAGTCGCTTTATAAAGTTTCAGACAAAGTGGGAATTAACTTTATTACACAAATGAAATTATTCCGTTTTATGCTCTTTTCCGAGTAAATAAAAATTACATTAACATGAATTAAGAACTTGAACTTTAAGCAATGAATTAAAATATGCATTTTCTTAAAAGGAATTCTTAATAAAATGAAGTCTGGTTAACTAAGCAACCACAATGTTGCTTATAATTGCTAATAGAGGATTTTAGAAAATTAACTTAAGATAACCATAACTATAACAATATAAATAAAACCTGTGCCTTTATTGTGGGTTCATTTCCATTGCTGCTAAAACTGTATATATCGCCACAGAAGCATAAAGCTCTAAAAAATATGAACTTTATTCTTTCCACAGAACGCTGCTAGAATTCACGAACCACAAACTTTTCGTAGTGCTTTATTCTTCTAGAAGTTTGATTAACAAACAAGAAAACAATTGACGTTTTATGAGGTTTATCTTCAACATACCTAAAAGATAAAACGGAAAAAGGCTAGATAAAATAAACATATACTTTCTTTAGAAAAGTTGATTCTTGAAGTTTAATGAAAAATTTATGAAATAAGCAATAAGGAAATAATTTTATTGTCCAATTTTGTTTACAATGTATATTTAAAGTAGTAGTAAACACATAAAGTGTCTATTTTTAGAAATATACAAATTTGGAAAATGGACAAACTTTGATACCATCTCCCTCCTTGATAGAAAAGGAAAACATTTCAAAAACTTTGATACCATTTTAAATACACTGGATGCGTCTGAAAGGTGGCTCACACCTATATATTTTTCATTTTTTCAGATAAAAAAACGAGATTTGGTATTTTAGTATATGAAATAAATTAGGATTGATTGGAGTATTGAATTGTTTTCGGTCACTTTCTGTTTCACCGGAAATGACTGCAACTTTTGATTTTTAAATGGCACCCTCGGTATTGTTTTACTTTATTCAATAGAAAATGACATTCTGAATAGAATGACATATCATATGTCAACTTTTGACATTTCCGAATATGGTTTATTTCAAATTGCTGTCATTGAAAAAGTGTAATTTTCTATTGAACAAAATAAAAACATTTTCGCATATGGTTTATTCGTAATTATTGCTAACTACTTGCGGTTTGTAACGAAAATTTGACTCGAAGTACCAAGTGTGTGGTATCAAATTATTCGTAAAAAATGCTCTTTCCAAATATGCTAATGAGCCACCCTCGTTCTATTTTAAAAAATTGAGATATGATTGAAAATACGATTTGAGCA